CGGTCTTTCTCGGGCTCTGCCGGAGCCGCGGCTGCCAGAGACCGAGCGGCTGCCCTTCTCGCCGCCGCCGCTGGGGAACTGGCACCTCTGGGTCCTAGAGGGATGGGATTTCCGGGGCCGGCGTCTGTGAGCCCTCCCCTTCCCCTCCACCCAAATGTATCCCCTCCCGGTCCCTCGCCGACAGCATTCCGCTGACCCCAGACACTGGCCAGTCCTCTTCAACGCTTCCATCTGAACTTCTGACTGCTGCTTATAACAGCCCACATTACCGCACCCCCACTATATATTGCAGGGAGGCAATCCAAACACAGTGGTCTCAGTGCCGCCCCTTTCCAACCCAAAAGTGAAGGGAGATTAGTGGGAAGGAGCAAAGGATTATGTCCTTCATGGTCTTTGATCTCCCTAGCATGGTTCAAGGCCATCAGCATCAAAGTCACTCTGGGATTTTTAAATTTTTTAAATTTCAGATATGGGGGCCCTCCCCAAACTTTGTGAAGCAGAATCTCAGCAGCCTGCCCCTGGAATCTGCATTTTAACAATTTCCCACCGGGAACCTTTTGCACCCACTCTCTAAGATGTGAAACCTTGGCCCCGTGTTGCTGGCCTTGTGCTGAGGAGGAAGGGGGCTGGAGAACGGAAATGGTTCTCACCCAAGCTGGCCTTTTCCCTTGGGAAGTTGAAGAGGTTGTCCTATCACCTGCCTGCTCTGCACCCAGGCTGGAAGGGAGGGAGCAGATCCCTGTCTTCATGCCCCTTCTGGGGCATCTTGCCTTTCAAAGAGGAAGAAGTTTTGGAGGAACAATTCTGGAGGCCTGGGGCCAAAGTTTCACTAGTGAGAACTCTAGGTTGGGTCTCTGCTCTAAGGGATCCTGGCCACTGTGTGCAAGTGTGTGCAGGGAGGAAGGGTGAAGGGTGGCAGTGACCTATACATCCTCTGTCTTGGCACCCCAGAAAGCTGTTTCGATACTCTCCCCACCCCCTGTGTACACAAGGGGCCTAAGGTTGCCCTCGACTCCTCCCCAGCTTCCGGGGCCTGGGAGTGGACGTCCACCCTCTAACCCTGACAGGTCCAGATGCACTGCTTCACTCCACAGATCCCAGAAAATGGCGAATATTGTGGACCCTAGGACCCAGGGAACAACTCAGGCACAAAGCCTCCCCCCACTCCCAGCTGCTTCCTGCATCTCAGGCCTTCCTGCGGCCTCTGCCTCCTCCCCCGCCCTCCTCCCTTCCATCCTCTTCCTCTTCTTCCCAATCTCCCACTCCCTTCCCAGTCCCCCCCCTTGCCTAGGAAGGGCGGTCAAAGGGAATCCTTCCACCCCTCCACTATAGGTGTGTGTGTGGGTTTCGTGGGATAGAAACCGGTTAGCACGTGTAAAAGAGCGTGGGGGATGGGGTGTGGGAAGCCGCCTGGGAACCCTGAATATTGGGACAGGGAGGGGCCAGGAACCACAGGACTGGATCCTGAGGCTGGCAAGCCTGAGACTAAGTGAGAGGGAAGACTTGGGTTCTGAGCTGGGACGGGAAATGAACCCAGACCTCAGGCTTTCCAAGGCCACCTGCCTCTGCCTTGCCCAGCTGGTCAGGAAACTTTCCCCTCCCCAGTTTTACACTTTGGCATGGGGCAGAGAGAAGCAGCCAACCTCAGTTTCCTCTCCCTCCTTTCAGGATCAAGCTTTGGGACTTGGGTTTCCAAGCACAAGTCTGGTGCTTGATGGCCCCCTCCTGCCCCCCAACCCCACTATGGAAGTGGGTGAGACAAATCTCACCTAGCTGGTGTTGAGGGTTTGGGCAGAGTGTCCTCAGAAACTCTGTGTGAATTGGAGGTCGAATGCCCCAGGGTGTTCTGCCCAGAATCTCCCACACCCTTTGGTGAGTCATCTTAACTGGTCCCAGCCCAAGGGGTTTGTGCCCACGCTTCTGGCCAGGTGGGAAAGACAGCTCCTAAGGGTGGGAGGAGGAGCTGAGAACCAGCATTCAGGCCCAGGGGCCCTAGGACCCCCAACAACATCTTCAACAGCACCTTGGATTGAACTAGAATTCTTGGGATGCTTGGGTCTCCTTTGCCCTGGGACTTCCAAAAGTGAAACCCCTTTAAGGGCTCTGGGATGCAGGAGGGTGGAGCCAGCCCAGAGCTTGGATGACTGAGGCTAATCAGTGGGATTATTATTTCATGGGCTCCTGGTTAGCTCAATGACACCCCAGCCAGAATTCCCGAAGAAGTTTTATTGAGCAATAAGTGCTTTACCATCACTCCTTCCCTGGAGTCAGACACCAAGCCAGCAGGCCTGAGAGATTTATCTCCTTCATCCCCTCCCTGCCTGCTTGGGGCAGTACATTTTTGGCCAGGTCTCCCCATGCATGTGAGGATGAGGAGGATATTACTTTAGGGAGGGTTGTCATCCAAATGGGAGGGTTTAAATCTAATTTTTATTCCTAGGCTGTGATCCTCACCTGTGTCCTCCAGTCCAGTACCCCAGGATAATTTGGCCATTCTTTTTTTTTTTCTTTTTCATTGTCCTTTGTGGAGGGGACCTTGATGGTCAAGTTGCCTGGTGATCTTTGAATAAAAGTTCCTTCCTTACCTTTGCCCTGGAATAGAGGGTGGAGTGGTTCCCCAAGTTGACCCAGGAGCTAAGCTGTTAGAGTTCAAATCCTGGCTCTACTACTTACTAGCCATGTGACCTTGGACAAGTCACTTAGCCCCTCTGTGGTCTGAGAGGATAAACAGGTGAAAGTGGCTGGAACACAGAAGATCGGGTGTGTAGGAAGGAGATGTCTTTTACAGTCTTTGCTAAAAAGGCTGGAGGCTTCTATAGGGAGACATAATCCATCCCCAACTCTCCTTGACAGAGCCCCTCCCTGTTTTCCCACCAACCCCCAAATCTGATAAGGACCTTCATACCCCCTGTTCCTTGAGGCTTGCTAGTTTTAAACACTAGATGTAACTGTAAAGATGGGTGATGATGGCAGGGAGAGACTTGATTTGTGATAAGTACCAAACCCTCAGCGCCCCGGGCTCAGGCCCTGGCTGGGTGCCAAGGCTGGCTTCTCTTCCCAGTCCTGGGACCTTGAGATTTAGCCTCTGAAAGGGGTGTTTCCCGGGCCAGATCAGATGAGAGGCTGGCCTTCAGCCCTTTTATGTTGAGCCAGTGGTTCCTACCCCAATCACTCTCCTTTATCCGTTCTCCTCTGCTAAGGACTTGTTCTGCTATAAGAAGGCTGTAAAGGTGTATGTATATGTGTATCTGCTTTATGTACCGAACTCAAATCCAGGATGTCAGTGTTGGATGGCCTTTAATGGCCCTTGGCTGACCCCTTCCCAGGAGGAATGAGGAAGACTGAGATGTGGAAAGTGACTTATCCAGTTTTGGAGGAAAGAAACCAGGCTAGGGTTCAGAGGTCTCACTTGAGTCCTAACTCTACCCATTTGCTGGGTGATCTTGGACTAGTCATTTCTACTCTCGAAGCCCCTATTTTCTCAAAATGCTTAATTTGGGTGTCTGAGTGTGTCTCCTGAGCATGGGCGACCCTGGATCTCCCCCACTCAGTGTGGAGCAGAGCAGAACGTGGGCTTTGAAACCGGATCATGTTCATTACAATCCCCAAGCTGCCACTTCCCAGTTAAGGGACTTCAAATTCCAAACTACCAAATGGAGATAATAAACTGACCTCATAGTGTTATGGGGATTAAGAGAGTTCAAAATGCATATAAAGCATTGCGAACATCTCCTGGCACAAAATAGGAGCTTGGTGTTGGCTGTTATTGATTGCTTGTGTATCTGAACACGCATGAATGCGTCTGCACGTGTGCTCATGTGTGGGGTGGTATGGCTGAAAATTGATCGGTGTTTGCCTCTTTCCATGAGTCTTCATGGGGCAGGCATGGGCCTCTGTTTCCTTGTAAGGTCTTTTATAGGCAATTCTGCAATATATGCACCCCCTGCCTGCAGCGCCTCCAGATCTTTTGGAATCATCTTTTGAAGTGAAGGTGACCTCTCTTCCCTATCTTCCAAAGGGTTTTTCATTCCTGCTTCCTGGTTCCTTAGTCCCCCATTGCCCAGCAGGGAGAGGGGTTCCCTGGGGTTGTCCCACAGCTAGAAGATTGCCTTGTGTCCCTCTGTTCTGCCCCATTTTCTTTCACTCACCCTCCACACTTCACTCTAGTGC